CTTGGTATGCCACCCTGCTCCAGTATATTCCGAAGCGACGATATTCTTCGGTGAGATGGAAATTAGCAATGTAGTTCTTCACCACGATATCCCCAGCTTCAAGAACGTCCACTTCATATTTTTTCACTTCTGAGGCATACCACTTTAGTTCATTCTCCATGAACTTATTGGCATCCTTGCACCCAGTAAGCTCCAAATTAACCTTCTCCAGGGCCTCTGTAGCGACTCTTTGGTGGTTATCAGATAGTTCTACCTTCTTTGTTAGAGCTGCCACCTCGCACTGAGACTCGTGCACCTCCTTCTTCAAAGCATCAATTTCAGTTAGGAGGGAATCTCGCTTGGCATCCTCTACATCTTTCCGGATTCTTAGCTCAATGTTTGCCTCCTTTTTCTGTTCAAGTTCAGCTTTAACTACTGCCAGTTCATCTCGCGAGGCTCTGTTCCTTGACTAAATGTCAGAAAGGACTGTTTGGCATTCAAGTGCCATGCCAAAAGCCCTGGCGGTTTGGCTCACCAAAGTGGCAGTGAGATCCACTGCGTCGCAGGTGGCAACATAATTCTGCCATCTCTCCGTCCAGAATTTGTTGAACCCCTCGGTGGCGATCCTCACCTTGGGAGGGAGCATCTCTATAAGATCAGGGGCTATCTTGTCATCCCTGCCTCCCAGGAAGTTCCCAGACTTCCCTGGGGTCCTCTCCACTAGTGCCCTTTTTGTGGCCTCGGAGGCCTTCGCCGCCTCCTCTATTATTTTCCTTGATTGCGCCACCATTGCAACATCAATTGAAGATTGGAGAAGCTTTGGCTTCTTGGTAATGCCCTTCTCTATGTAGGACACCGATGTCCCTAAACTTGAGGACCCACCACCAGGGCCCGACTTTCTCTTCTTCATGGGCTCTTCAGCTACTCCCTTGCCCTGGCAGTAGGCGGTTTACCCCCCTTTGTGGTCTTTCTGGGGGCCTTCTCCTCAGCCTCTTTATCATTCTTACCTTTGCTAAGGCGATCAAGCTTTGACTTCACTTGCTTGGCCCCCGAGGACCCAGG